TTGATGGAGTGGTGGGGTTGGATAAAGGAGATGAAGACTCTGTCCTCCCATGGATTACTTCTGGGCTCCAGGTCATCTCCTTCCTCCTCTAGTAGCAGTGGTGGAGTCCCTGTAATCTTCCTTCTCTTCTGCCTTTCTTTCTTCTCCTGCTTGTATACATGACACTTGCTAGGACACCTGCTGAGTTTAACTTCTCCTGTCTGCCAGTTGATTTCAGGATTATGACAGTACAGCCATGTGTGTCCAATTATTGCCATCTTGTCTCCAAGGTCACACACTGCAAAGGTGACTCTTTCAGTGTGATCTTTGTAAGACATTATGACATCTACTTCTTCTTTGATGGATCCACCTTGATTGAGAGTCCCATCAACATTGTACACTGGGATGGCCCTTGGCAGCTTCCTGGTGTTGAGGTTGTGCTCTCTCACAAACCTGGTGTCAAGGAATTGACCTGTGGCACCACAGTCTAGGAGGGCATGGATAGGGAGTGATACACCAGTGTCCAATGTCTTGATGAGGACATCAAGGTGAGTGGAGAATTTGAGGGTAGTTGACCTAATGTAGATCTTCTCTGGAAGGGAAGGGAGAGAGGGTGTTTCTGATATGATTTTAGGAGGCTCTGTGTTGGATGAAAGGGAATCTTCAATGGTGCTATGTACATCCAAGACAGAAAACCTATTAGACCACTGGGACATATCTTTCACCAATGGTCTGCCTAAAAATCCTGCTTTGTCTCTGATCCTTCCTTCTGGATTTCCCCCATTATGTAGGCCTTGAGTGCATCATAGTCCATACTATTGATATCAACTCTGGACTTGCAGTCCCTGGCAAAGTGACCAGGCTTCCTGCATTTGAAGCACACCTTAGGCTTTACACTCTTCCATCCAGAGTCTACTTCCATAGGTACAGCCTCTGAGGTGCTGGGGACTGATGGTGTTGGTGGGAGTGGTTTGGAATAGATGGTAGAGGGAATAGGGGTCTTAGGGTTTGAGGCTGACCTAGGGGAGGGGGTCTTACTGGGCTGCAGGCTGGTAGATTTCTTGGCTTCCCTCTGCCTCCATTGTCTGTCCAGTTTGGCAGCCCACTGGAACCATTCTTGGAGATTGGTAGGCATTTGAGGCAGATTGTAGATCTTGTCTACCAGTGCTGAATTCAGACCTTCCTCAAACTTCTCCACCAGGGCAGCATCATTGTATCCTGTAGCATCCTTTAGCTCTCTGAAGCTACAGATATACTCATCTGCTGTCTGGCTGCCTTGCTTCAGCTTCTTCATCTTGTGTCTGGCAGTAGCCTTTGGGTCAGGATCATTAAAGACCTCTTCAAACTCCTTGCAGAACTCCTCCCAGGTTTGGGTAACTTCCCCTTTGGAGTACTGTTTGACTTTTTCCTTTGCCCAGGGCCCAGCAGTGCCTCCTTTCATATATGAAAGGGCCAGGATGATCTTGTCAGCATCACTCTGGATTTCATTTCTTTTGCCATGAAAGAATAAGGCAAGCTGGCTGAGGAAGGTTTCTGTTTTGGACAAGGTTCCATCAAACACATCAGGGGCAGCTACCTTCAGTGACTTGATTGGGGTTGGAGTTGTTGGCTGGGGGGTAGGAGCTTGAATGGATGGCTGCTGAAGAGAGGCAATGGCTTGCTGGAGAGAGGCAATTTGGGCTTGAAGATCTTCAATGGTTGGTGTAGACATGGTGAGGGTGTGGATAGGGTGAGATGAGGTGTGGCTAGGATGAGTGGGGAAGGGTGTGGGGTAGGATGTGTGGGGTGCAAGGTAGTGGTGGTATGGTGATGAAGCTAGTGTTGTTGTGGAGTGTCAAGAATAGCTTTAATCTTCTGTTAGGGCACACTGTATGACAAGCCACAGGTAGAGGATAAGGTAGTAGGGATAGGGCTGTAGGATGAGAGGGAGGATGGGATATGGAGGATGAGGATGGTTTAGAGCTAATGACTTAGGTAGGATACTAGTTACAGTGGAGAATCCTAAGAGATTAAAGCTGGGGAGACTACAACTACAAGATGGGGTATTTATACTAAATCCGAAAGGTCATGACTAAAGGTTCTGACTAATGACTGTATTGAGGATCAGTCAGCATTAGTCAGCATTCTTACTCATACTGTGCATATCTTTAGTCAGCAAGGTCATGTGGCTGAGTGATTAGTCAGCAGGTCACATGACCATGGCTTAGTCAGGGTGGTGTACCCTGACA